CCTCTTCTGCGCTCTTTGTGCTTTGAGGGTCTTCGGTTAGAGAGAGAGTGAGGCAGAGAGTGAGATAGAGTGAGAGAGAGACTTTCAGTCTCTTCTCCGGTCCCTTCGTGTTTTATCTCCGAGTGCTTCCTCCCTTTGACTTGGTGTGCGTTGAGATGGCTGGGCTGGCCTGAGTGTGACTGTCCCTTCCCGGTGGTGCTTTGGTGTGAGCTGTTTGAGCGTGGTCTGAGCTGGAGAGGTGAAAACCTGACAGTGGTATCAGAGCCGGAACTCCCGTCGTCCTCGCCGGCAGCCCAAGAGCTCCTCCGCCGCCATCCAAGACTCTGTGAATTCTTTGACTTTCTGTGAATCATGTGTGCTTGATAAACAACATAGAGTCCAATTCCCTCTATCCCCCTACCCAAATGTTACCAAATGCTCCTCTGTTCTTGAGTATGTGCATGCTGATGTTTGGGGGCCTGCTAGTGTTCCCACCCATGGGGGTAAAAGGTATTTCTTGTCCTTGGTTGATGATTTTTCTAGGAAAGTGTGGGTCTGTCTTCTAGAGCATAAGTCAGATGTCTTTGAGAAGTTTAAGGCCTGGAAGATACTTGTAGAAAACCAAACAGGAAAGAACCTTAAGACTCTTAGGACTGATAATGGTCTGGAGTTCTGCAATAAGGAACTTGACCAATTGTGTGTCTCATCTGGCGTTAGGAGACATAAGACTATTCCCTACACACCCCAGCAGAATGGGGTGGCTGAAAGGATGAATAGAACTCTCCTTGATAAGGTTAGAAGTATGTTGTCTACCTCAGGTTTGCCTAAGAAGTTTTGGGGTGAGGCAGTTAGTACTGCCACCTATCTGATTAATAGGTCTCCCTCTGTTCCTATAGGTGGTCAATGCCCTGAAGTTAAATTTACTGGTGGGCCTCTTGACTTGTCAAACCTTAGGGTGTTTGGGTGTGCTGCCTATGTCCATCAGAAGGCTGATAAGTTAGATCCTAGATCCAAAAAATGTGTCTTCTTAGGTTATCCTGATGGGGTTAAGGGTTATAGGCTCTGGGATAGAAGTGTGCCAGGTTTTAAGGTAGTGATAAGTAGGGATGTTGTTTTCAATGAGTTTGACTTTCCTTGCTTGTCTAAAACTGTGTCTGAGCATGAATCTGAGAAGACTCCTGTTGAGGTGGAGCCTCAGTTCCCTTCTGTGCCTATAATCTCTCCTGATATGCATGAAACTACTTCTTCTATACCTGTTATTCCTATTGTGCATAATGATGACTGGGAATACTGCCACCTCTAGTGAGGTGGAGTTCAATTCCCATGAGCAAAATAATTCTATGTCTGGTGAGACCAATATGTTTGATGATTCTGCTGAGCATGATGATGTTGATTTGCATGACTACCAACTTGCTAGGGATAGAAGTAGGAGAACCATTAAGAGAAAAGCTGATACTATGTCTGACTATGCTTTTACTGCAAGTGGTATATCTGATTTTGCTTTTAATGTGTTTGAGACCCTAGACCAAAATGAACCCAAGACCTATAGTGAGGCTCTGATGTCCAGAGACTCTCAGAAATGGCTTGAGGCCATGAGAAGTGAGATGGACTCCCTGAGTGTAAACCAGACTTGGACCCTTGTTCCCAGACCTACTGGCAGCTCTGTAGTTGAATGCAAGTGGCTGTTTAAGGTCAAGGAAGAACCTGGTAGCAAAGTTAGGTACAAGGCTAGACTTGTTGCCAAGGGGTTCACTCAAAAGGAGGGGGTAGATTATGCAGAAATCTTTGCTCCTGTAGTTAAGTTTACTACTGTTAGAATCATGCTTGCTTTGGTTGCTCACTATGACTGGGAAATGAAACAAATGGATGTCAACACTGCATTTTTGCATGGTGAGTTGGATAAAAAGATTTACATGACTCAACCTGAGGGCTTTGTGGATCCCAAGAGGAGTGACCATGTATGTTTGCTTAGAAAGGCTTTATATGGTTTAAAGCAGTCCCCTAGGCAGTGGAATATTAGATTTGATAAGTGCATGCAGTCTATGAAATTTGTGAAATCTGCATATGATCATTGTCTTTATTTCAAGGATACTTCCTCTGTGCCTGTGTTCTTGCTAATCTATGTGGATGACATGTTGATCATTAGCCCTTGTCTGAAATCTATTAAGCTTGTTCAAAAATGTCTATGTGATAATTTTGCTATGAAAGACCTTGGTGATGCCAAGAGGATACTTGGGATTAACATTGTCAGGGACAGGAGTAAGAGTACTCTTGTGCTGAATCAGATTTCTTATGTTGAGAAGGTTTTGAGTAAGTTTTATATGTCTTCTGCTGCACCTGTGCATGTACCTCTTGCCTCTCATTTTGTGCTAAGTAAGAACCAGTCCCCTAAGACTGCTTCTGAAATTGACCTTATGAAGTCTGTTCCCTACTCTAATGCTATAGGTTCTGTGATGTATCTAATGGTTAGTTCTAGACCTGATATTGCCTATGCTGTGAGTTGTTTGAGTAGGTATATGTCTAATCCTGGTATGCCTCATTGGAATGCTTTGAAGTGGCTTTTGAGATACTTGAAATTCTCTGCTAATCACGGTTTGATTTTCTCTAAGTGTGCTGAAGGTGTGAAACTGAGTGGTTATGTTGATTCTAACTATGCTAATGATAGAGACAATAGGAAATCCACTACTTCCTATGTGTTTACTTTGTGTGGTTCATGTGTTAGTTGGAAATCTCAGTTACAGCCCATTGTTGCCCTGTCAACTACTGAGGCTGAGTATGTTGCTGCTACAGAGGCTTTCAAGGAAGCCCTTTGGCTTAGTCGTCTTGTTTCTGAGATAGGTTTTCTTAAACAGGATGTCACTGTGTTTTCTGATAGCCAATCGGCCATACAGCTTTGCAAAAACCCTGTTTTTCATGATAGGACTAAACATATTGATGTGAGGTTCCATTTCATTCGTGATGTGCTAGATGCAGGTAAGGTGAAGCTGTGCAAGATACCCTCAGAGTTTAACCCTGCAGATATGGGAACAAAGTGTTTGTCTGCTGAAAAATTGTTATCTTGTAAACGTATTTTGAATTTGGATTGTGGTTAGCTCTGTTTGCAGGTTTTGGGTGTCTGGAGATGCAGGCTCTTAAAGCCCAGTGCTTTATAAATGTCTGTTCTCACGGTTTTGGGAGAGTACCTTGTGTACTTCTCCAATTTTATTCTGGGAGTACTTTGTGTATCTCCAATTTGTTTGCCAGTTATGTCTTAGGATATCACTGGTGACCCAGCGATGATGAACCACGTGCTCATATTAATTTTGTGATACCTTGCACCACCAATGATGGCCAATAAGGTGGAGAGTGTGGAGGTATTGGCCCATTGGCCTATGCAGCCCTCTTCCCTCTGTTGGACCTGTCCGCATTAGTCCTAGCCCCGGCCCAAGTGTTTCTCGCCTAGCCTGTGTTCTGGAACCCTCCTTTAGGGTTCCCTCTTGACCCTTGGTACATATACCCTCTTGTGCGCTCTTTGTGCTTTGAGGGTCTTCGGTTAGAGAGAGAGTGAGGCAGAGAGTGAGATAGAGTGAGAGAGAGACTTTCAGTCTCTTCTCCGGTCCCTTCGTGTTTTATCTCCGAGTGCTTCCTCCCTTTGACTTGGTGTGCGTTGAGATGGATAGGCTGGCCTGAGTGTGACTGTCCCTTCCCGGTGGTGCTTTGGTGTGAGCTGTTTGAGCGTGGTCTGAGCTGGAGAGGTGAAAACCTGACACAAATATTTACATCTTCCATATCTTTTTTCATTAATATGGTATTTGTAATCATTTTATGTCAATAAACCTGATTCTAAACTAGATTATATCAAAGATGTAAATATAAAAAAAAATAACATTTCATAAATTTTTTTGTTGCTCCGGATGAAAAATATCTAAAAGTTGTAAAAGTAATTGTTAAATCTTTATTATATCACTTGGATTTATTTATAAAATGTTGAGTCTGAAAAACTCTACCAACCTTCATATTTTTGTAAAAAAATACCCCCTCCGTCCCGCAATAAACTTCACACTTTCCTTTTTGGGCAGTCCCGAAATTAACTTCACATTTCAAAACTTTCCTTATTTGGCAAATTATCTACATCAAAACAGTGCCAATCAGTGTCAAACAGTGTCCAAACAGTGTTTGAACAGTGCAAAACAGTGCACTGCACAATAAAGTCAAATTTATTTTCTTAATCTGTGTGAAGTCAAACCGAAAAGTTTATTGTGAGAGGGAGTATTGGTTTAGAATTTGATTTATTGATACGCATTGTTGCAACTTGCCTTTTAACTCCATATTAACTTCTACTTTTTTTTAAATTTATGTATACAATATTGGTGTCATATGAAAGATAATAAAAAATAATAAAAGTTGATATATTTTTTATAAATATTGGAGCAAAAATATAAAAATAATAGTAATTTAAAGTAAAAGGAGATTTTTTAAAAAAATTGGGCCCACTTAACCATCTCTCCTGCGCATTTGCTTAGTTGAAGACTTGAAGTCGTTCCTCTTCCCAGAGCATTTAACGTATTCTCTTGACCATGGTTTAAAAGAGCAGTACTTTTGTAAATATTTTTGACCCAACACTAGTTAAGTAAATAATTATTTTTTCAGCATTAATAAGGAGAAAAACTCAATAAAGCGAGGTCTGATTTGGTTAACCCGAACGCGAAGTTCCAACCCGAAATGTCAATTTCATCTCACACCTTCCATGGCCGCGACCACTGCAAACACTCTATGATCTGCTTTCTTTCCTCGAATCGCATATATAAACAGGAATGTCCTTCTTCCACGTAGAGGCTGGTGCGTGTGTATTTGTTTTCATTAACTCTACCATTTCATTGATTTTGAATAATGATAAAAGAGTTAACGCTTTCATAAATTCTCTGAAACTCGGATTTATAATTCCTGCAAGCTCTACACTTGGAGTGCCAAATGATTCATGATAGTTTCGCGTGGTTTCATTTGTCTGTGTAAAGATTTGAAATATACTACTCCACAAGTGATACACACTAAAGTAGCTTTATTTAATCAAAAGAAAGAAAAACATAAACACGTTCACGCAATCACACTTACACACAAAGAAACTGGACAACGATGCATTGCACAACCAAAACAGACTATGGGAAACCCTGCATTACTGGTGTGACTCCTATGTCACACTTTCACGCTTATTTTTCTTTCACACCTATAGATGTTCACCACCGAAGTTTAGATGTTCGCTTTTCTTAACCTATGTATGTTCCTGCAGAGGTTTAGTTGGGAGATGTTCCAACTAAACTAAATCCAACTGTAAAGAAAGCTGCTGCTTGCAGTATTAGATATATGTAAAACTGGTCCTTCCCGTAATACAGGTCAATGTAAGCACAATGCAGCATGTACATTCCCATTGTAAGCTCGAGCGGGTTCATCCTGTTTGCGAAGATAACAGTTTTCATTATCTTTTCAAAGAGTGGTTTGCTACTAGGTTGGAGTTATCTAGTATAGAGTTAAAAAACAGACAAACATGTTACCTGTCTATACACCTGGATCTTGGCCTTTTTGGTGCTCTTCCATTTTGCCTCTGTTTAGCCGTGTTCCCCAGTTTTTCTGTTACAACCCATTCGTTGACTCGGTTTGCCCCTAATAGCCCTATTATCGCAGCCTTAGTCCGATGCAAAGACATCACATTCTCAAATAATATCCACGGCAAAAGAAGGTGGAGAGACCTATTCCAACCATAGAGAAAGTTATCATTTTTTTTTGGTAAATTATATAGTTGAAACCAGCACTAAGGGACATTCATTTTCATGGCATTGCTACCTCCTTGTGCAGATTGCATTTAGAATTGTTATTGTTGCAGGAAGATATATGGCTACTGGCTTTGTGAGCTGCACTTCAGGAATGATGATAGTGGCTGGCATGACAATGCAGTAGAAGAAAAAGGTAACCCAGTGTGCAATGATCTTCCTCACGAAGAAGAAAGCATAGACCAAGTGGAATTTCTTGTATAGAGATACGCGCTGCATTGTGCAGGAAAGGTCATGTGTGAGTTTTCTGAATCCTCCTAATTAATACGACATATGAAAAAATGATTTACTGAATTTAATTATTACCTCACTAAGGATGATTTCTTTGAACATCTTCCTGAAGAGATTAGCTGGACCGCAAGACCAACGGTGCTGCTGATATCTGTAAGCCTTGAAGGTGCTTGGAAGTTCATTTTTCACCTAAATGAACTATTTTTAGTTTCTTGAAATATTTTTATGATATATAGTGCTTGACCTGTTAAGCGTATTATATATACCAAATAAATTTTTAAATACTTGAGAAATATTCACATTAGAGACTCACTTCTAAGTCACCAATAAAAAGAAATTTCCACCCCCTAAGGCTAGCTCTGACTGCAAGGTCCATGTCCTCCACGGTTGTTCGATCTTTCCATCCCCCGGCATCATTTAATGCATGTATTCTCCAAACACCAGCAGTCCCTAGAACAACATTCATATTAAAAGGATTATTTGCATTTGTCGAATGTAATTTCTTTTGGATGAAAATTTTCCGAGCAATACATGACTTTTTTATTTACCATTGAACCCGAAAAATGAGCATGTTGAGGAGCCCACTTCTTGCTCAACAGTGAAGTGGTAGTCTAGTGACATCTCCTGAAGCCGGGTCATAAAACATTCATCTGCATTAACTGTTGACATTTCACTAGGGTCAATCACATATAAACTAGACTATAGTGGGTCACATATAGCATTTTTACTTGAAGTATATATATAGATAAACGGCGAAGTTAATTATTGACAGTTGGATTATCAACTGTACTGTTCAATGCTCATCAACTTTGACTCACTGACTCATGATCAGTGTTAGTAATTGTACAATGCCTTTGCATCTTGCGGTGCGCTTCAGCAATTTCTGGACCAAACGCATTAAGGCGACCCCCAGAGTAGAGGCTTATGCCCTTTTTAGCACATGCCTACGCCATGAGGCACACAATTGTGTTTTCAGGGTTTACTTATTGTGTTGGGGCATTGGCCCACTCAAAAACCCTAATCTTTTTTACAACTTCTCAGACTCTTCACTTCTCTTATGCGATGATCGCCTTTCTTCTATGACTATTCATTCTCTCTTATCCCTTCTCATTCACAAGACTAAGACTACAAGGTGAGTTTTTATTTATGTATTTATTCGCGTTAATGATGTGTTAGATTTTGTGTATGTTAGTATATCACGCACATTAACATGATGCGAACTCCTCTCTCTTCTCATTCGCAAGGTGTATTTATCCTATTTTTTTTTTCGTAGTTAATAATTGTAGATTTTCTGGTTAGCTATATGAATTAATATTAATGAATTGCTTAAAGTCACTAATCCTGTTCAACAATGGCTTCTAAAGCATCTATTGTTAATAGAATAATTATAACTAGGCTAAAGGGTCAAATAGGTACATGAACTAACTTAAAGTGTTCAATTAGCCCCTTATATAGGAGATTCTGCCCGGCCGTCGCCAATTGGGGCGGTTCCTGGTGGAATTTTTTGATGAATTTATTTGAGCATCTTCTTCATTAAGTCTAGTTTACCCATACCAAACCTCAACTAAAAATTCAACCGGGAAGGCAGTCAAATGGTTTGTTGAAAATAACTCCGCAGTTAAACAACTCAGTACATTTCGGAAAATCATTTGAGTGTCTTCCCGATTTAATTTTTAGTTGAAATTTGGTATGGGTAAACTAGACTTAATGAAAAAGATGCTCAAAAATTTTCATCAAAAAATTCAACCAGGAACTGCCCCAATTGACGACGCCCGGGCAGAACCTCCTATATAAGGGTCTAATTGAGCACTTTAAGTTAGTTCATGTACATATTTGACCCTTTAGCCTTATAATTATTGCTCCAGTTCTCCGTCATCTTTTTGCACGCTCCTTGAAACACTAATGTAATTAATGTTCTGAATTTCAATGTCAACACAGAAGGTTATGGAAAAATCAAACAAAGAAATATAGTGGCTTTGATTGCTTTTTAACCTTCTAAACCACTAAATATTGAGGACTCAATTTTTTCATTCCTCAGTCTAGTAAATGTTAAACTTTAATGGAGTATGAAATATTTTCTATCATATGATGCTTGAACTTATTGTATGGGTTCATGTCCTCATTATTGTTTCTTTTCACTAATCACCATGAAATTTATCGAATTTTAAAGAATTAGTATATAATTTAATAAGATTTATAGTAGTATTTGTAATTTTTTGAGGATATTCTCTAAATAGGACTAAAACATGATATGTATCCTGTAACAGTACCACCATTGTCCCCCCTTCAAAACATGACCCATCCACTCCTAAAAAAGAAACCTTAATTGCTTTTATTCTTTCACTAGGACTAAACAAGTCATATTTTTGGAATAAAACATAATTTCTCATATTTGTGAACTTGGTCCATATTTTACTCCTATTATGGACAATACCTTATTTTTTAAATTTGTATTATAATCTTAAGCTAACTCTTCATTGCGCAATGAGTTCTAACTGCCCCAACAATGCAATATCGGACATTGCTATTGATATAGTTTTAAAACTTCTGTTGGTAGATTTGTCCTTACCGAATTTCCATCTTGCTTGCACCAGTGCCAATTCTGGGTTTTCTAGGAGATAAGGGATTGTCCTCCAAAGAAAGTCATTTTCAGGCTGAAAGTCAGCATCGAAGATTGCAACAAACTCACAGTCATCAACATAATGCTTTTTTAGACCTTCACGTAGAGCACCAGCCTTGTAACCATTCCTATTCTTCCTTGTCTCGTACTTAACATTAACCCCTCTCTGAATCCACTTCTGACATTCTTCTTCGACTGATATCTGCATATTGGTGCTTAAAGCGTTATCTTAAAGACAAACTGATGAGACCTTGATAGATACCGAAGTTAATGAAATATTTAGTCCAGAGAATACTCTCAAGTTTTTTACTTATATTTGGGAGTTAGGTATTGGAGGGGAGGATAGAGAATGAATTTTTTTCATTTCAAGATTTTTTCTTTCAAATGAAAGAATAAAATGGTAACATATCGTTTGATGTCATATTCATATACTCCCTCCGTCCCGTTGGAATGTTCCCAGTTTGACCTACACACATATTAAGGAAATAAACTTACCAGGGGGTAATTTTTTTTCCTGTTTTGACACTGTTTTGCACTGTTTGACACTGTTTTGATGTAGGATAACTTTCCATTTAGGGAAATGGGAACTTCTTTTTGGGACATCCAAAAAGGGAAAGCGGGAACATTCCAACGGGACGGAGGGAGTATTTATTACCACAATTATAAATAGTTCAGTTATTGAAAGGAATAAAAAATTTCCATCATTTGCAATGGAGCCAAAGACCCACTATTTTTTGGGCTTGGGAATATGATGGAGTAAAGCAAAATGGTTCACTAAACTGTCTGCGCTTCTTTGTTACAAAGCAGCCGTCAGTCCATGCAATTTTTGACGCGATCTTCACTATGGGTCACCCGGAAACAGTCTCTGTGCTTTAGTACAGGGGTAAGACTGTGTACATCCGACCCCCTTACCCCACCGTAGGTGGGACTGTGGGAGCCTTTGCGGCACTGGGGTAATGATGATGATGATTTAAAGGAATAAGAATTGACCCTTCCTCTAAAAAACATCTAAAATAGACAAAAACATACCCTTAGGGATTCGTTAGTAGAGTCATCAAGAACTTGCACAATAAGCCTATCTGATGGCCATGTAAGCCCACATACTGCTCCAATTGAAAGCTTGTAAACCTGGTGAAGAATAAAAGAGTAAAAAGATAAGCATGGTTTATATTCTATGTAAGTGAAGTGCACTAGTATAAAATAATAATGGTTATTACCTCCTTTTCATTGAACATGGGAATTTGGACCAACACGATTGGGTAGTTCTTGTTCTGCTCAAGGTCATCTTTCATGGCATCGAGCTTATAATTGGTGTACCTTTTTTTCCCTAAGCATTTAACGCAGGCAATTACAATTGCCATATACACCCTTTCAAGAAACAGCATCACCGACATCAATATGCATATAGACATTGCCAATTTAAGAAGAGGCACAAGAATAGGAACTCGTACACAATCCCAGACATATTTAAGACTCTGTGAAGGAGTGGTGTAAATGTCTTTCCCTTGCTCTTTGAAGATTATATTTCTCATTATCACACCTTGAAGTGATTAATGAAACAAGGATATAACTTGGATTACAGATAAAAGAGAGAGAGCTCAGGGCATGAATGCATTGAGATTGGAGAGTAAGTTTACTTGGTGGTCGATTTGTGTTTAGCGTTGTGGCTGCTTTATATAAGAGATTTCGGTGAAGGTGAAGATAACAATATGAATTGTGCTTCGGTGGATGGTTGTCGTTTATTGAGAGTTTCATTGAAAATGAAGTTCTATGTGAAAGACACACGGTGTACATGCAAGGGATGATGCCGTAACGTTATCACTTTGCTAGCTGGAGTGCTAGAATTTCTTTCCAAATGGAGTTTGAGGTTACAACGGCAAATAATATATTTATGATGCATTTTGTGAAATAATCGATCGACATCTCTTTTTCACACAATTTCTCATATGCCCTACCAAACATTTTATCTTTCCGTTCTCTTAGCTTTTGTGAATTTTGCCTTCCCCACCCTCACCCTACCTGTTCTTTATTTTCTTATTTAAAACTTGAGTGCACGTCTGAAACAAGTAACGAAACCTTCTATCTTTGGTTCTCCGCATCTTCACGGCGTACAAACCACACAGTTAATTAAGGAAAAAGTGAAGCTTTTTTGCACTCATTGCGGTTGCAATATTCATGTTTGATACGATTTTTGGGTAATGAGTCATTCATGCATCAAGGCCTTAATATAGAAATTCATATTGTCGAATCACGTGAATGTGAACCCTTCGACTCTTTTGGTTATCCTAATTCAATTGTGAATATTAACCCTTACATTCTTACCATCTTCAAATCCATCTAAATATTTAATTACTGGTTTCTCGCGGCAAGTTATTATTGATAGATATCATGATCAATTTGTTTTTATGTTGGTTTAATGATTTTAATCAAACTTGTGACCCTTTTCGAAGTGTTGAATTTGTAAGTTCACTGTCGTACATATTATATATTCTTTTGGTGGTATTTTGCATGTCCATTTATTTGAGAATAAATTCCACTTTTGATCCTACGAGTTTTAGGTCAATTCCACATTTAGTTCACATCTTTCACTTTGTCCACTTTTGATACATGACTATTGTGTTTTCGCCCATATATGGTCCTTCCCGCATTGTTTCCGATGGTTAAAATCGCCGGAAAAGAACCACAAACGGTTAAAAAACATTAGTCAAGTACCAAAAGTGGACAAAGTGAAAGACGTGGACTAAATGTGGAATTGACACAAAACTCGTAGGACCAAAAGTTGAATTAATTCTTTATTTGATGCCATATGATGTCTTGGGTAAGTATTTTGGCTAACATGATTTTGTATAATTCGGGAACTAATGCTTTACTACTTTTGACTCTAGTTATTGAATCATTTATTAACAAATTAGTCCTTCAAGTTTCAAACACATGGCCATAAGCATGTATTATATTAATTACTTCATTTAACAATCATAGGGTTTCTAAACTTACATATACATGTCAATGATTTTATATAATTCGGAAACTAATGCTTTACTACTTTTGACTCTAATTATTGAATAATTTGCTAACAAATTACTCTTTCAAGTTTTAAAAATATGGGCATAAGCTTGTATTACACGTAGTATTAATTACTCCATTTAACAATTATGGGGTTTCTAAACTTACATATGCATGTCAATGATGCATTGATGCTTGATTTGGAAGTCTGCCTTTCCCATAGCAGACTTCTGTATATGAACTTTAGTACTTTACATTTCACCCTTAAGCAAACATATTCATGCATATTATTGAATTCATGTTGCCCTTAAGCTGTGGTTAATGCTCTTAGCTGTGATTTTATTTTAAAATGGTGCTTGGACACTTAGCATAATTGATCTGTCCTTGAAACCCATTGTCTATGTGTTTTTAAAAGTCACATTTACTGTAAAACCTGTGGATACATGGATATAATGTATATTTCCCCAAGAGATGACAACAAATGCACTTGATAAAAAGAGCTGAGGTGCTTTTTTGCTATATTTTTTGCATATACATCTAATTTTTGTTCCGGTGTGCAATAAATCTGAATCATATCTAGGTGCTTGCACTTTCCTCCATGGGAAACTCTGTTTGCTTGTTAAAACCTACACTTTGTTATTATTGTTGTTGTTGCAACCATGTTATTCATATTTAAGATTGGGAAAATTAAACAAAATACCCTGAACTTTCCTCAAGTGTAAAGTCCCCACCCTGTACTTGTCTTGTTAAAAAATGCACCTCCCACTATTTGAACTTGTGATACTCGTATCCCTTCTTTAAGGTTTTGAATTTATTTTTGAATTACAAGTTTGTTAAATAGATCCAGTTGGCAAAAAATTCCACCTCAGCTTACCTTGAAAACTTCTCTCTCTCAATCTACCCACACAAACTTCATTCGATTGGAACCCCATCTCACAACTCACAGGAAGCCATGAACGATTACAGCCCTGGACAACGAAGACGGTCTTAGGCTTCTTGCAGTGCTCTGCTGCTCTCTACTATCTCCCAGGACTTTCTCTCCATTTCGGCTCACCGTGAATTAGATACACTGATTTTCTCCCAAAATCTTGCATCTTCGTCTTCTTCCTTCCAAGGCCAGAACTCGGAAGATGCCCATACTTGAAGGTATCAGTCCGGCGGCTTCTTCAAAACCCCAAATTCGAAGGCATTCAATTTCCGATTATGGCTTTGTTGTTTAAATCGTCCCTAGTTTCTTCTTCTCATGTCCCCTTTCTGCAAAGAGGTTACTGTCTTAGCGACTATTTGATTTGGTGGATTGAAGCTCTTTAAGAAAGACTTCAACTTGGTTCTGGAAAATAATTACTCCGTAATATTTATGCAGAGAGTGCAAAGGTGACCTTCACAGCTTTCAGTGTTAATATAATGTTTAAGTCTTCCCTGGTGGGCCTAAGTGTATTCCTTCCACTTCTACATATCCCTACTCTTAATGTGGGTGACCGAACTTTACATGTGCAACAATTAAAGTTTGGCAGGGGACACAAGGCTATGGAAAGAGGAGAATGTTTTGATGAATGTTGATGTTATATGCTACTAAAAGAGAAGAAGAATGTAGTTAAAACTGATCTGATGGTGCTGCAATCTGATTTCCAGAAGATGAAAACTAGTCATATATCAAAGAAAAAGATTGAAAATGTATTAGCTAGATTTGTTGTTCTTGGTTTTGTATCTGTGTTCATTTATTATAAGTAAAATTTTACTGAGTAGTAATATACAATATCATATACGAGTATATGTTAGTTATTTGTGTCATTTGCTGTCATGTGCAACTGAAGATTTGTAACTTTAGTGGCTAGTAAAACAATGCTGCTGGTTTTTCTAGTTTGAAATTGTGGCATTCTGATTTTCTAATGCTTTTATACAAGCCTGGACAGTACATGTCTGCAAAATCAGGGCCCAAGTATTTAAATTTTCAGTAACCACACCAAAACCAGTAACTACATACTATAAAACTAGTAAACAATGAACACAAATCAACACATGATATCTTTGATTGAGTGTTTGTGTTTAAACAGCAAAATAACAATCACAGCATGGCCTTTCTATAGTGGTTGGAACAAAAAATGATAAGCAAAATACAAACCAATGCATAGATTTTACATAGCAGGTTGCCAAAAAAAGACATTTACAAGTACAAAAAACTGGTCTGCACCACAAAAAACGCCACACCAGCCTACGCAAAAGAAATACTTAAGACTAGTTTGCACAAAAAAGACCCAACATTGGTCTATATAGAAAAGTGGTCTTCATATAGCAAAAAGCATGCACCCCCTCATCTAGTGATCGATCATATTTGTGATGGATGAGAACTTGATGGAGTAGAAGTTGATTGCGGAAAGACATTAGCACCCCCTTGCCCTGGCTGAAATTACAAGAATTAGGATTACATACACACTGTATTAATTGAATAAAAATGTGTATAACTTACATTTATATGCACGCTTGCATCTTCACCATAAAAAACTCCCCAGCCATGGGGTATTGTCGGCGTGGAAGTTGCAGAATATGTAGTTTTTAAGGGTCTTCCCCGGCGTCTTTTTGGTTGGTTAGGATCAGTAGCTTTTCTCTGTGGCCCGCCATCCTTTCTTGGTCTTCCTCTTGATTTTGGCTACATACAAATAACAAGTGATAATAAAAACAAGTAATAACACAAACTGCCACCAGTCTATATCACATATACATACGAACATAGGCTTCCCCCAGTGTCTTTAGCACAACATACTTAGCAACACCACATAATTTTTAAAGTGAGTTCAGGCCACCATTATTTTCTAAGCCAAAAGTAAGTGCTTACTGGAGGCTTTTGGAGTTGTGCGTCTGATATGTTTCCCTTTTGAGGGCATGTCCTTTTGTTATGGCCGTTCCCATTGCACGTAGTACAAGTCATTTGTACTCCATGCTTACTTAGCTTCCCTTTCTTATCAAATCTTTCATGTGCCTCCTTTCTCCTATTTTTCTTTGGCCTACCTGCACTAATCTTTACTGGTGGGGGACTTAAAGCATATTCAACCTTCTCCCAATGCCTTTCACCATTTATTGGTTTCACTGAAGTGTGATAGCTTTGAAGGTATTTAGCTTTTCTAAACCAGTCGAGGACAAAGTTTTCAGGAGGAACCCGAAGCCAATTGCAACATGAGATGACATGGATGCATGGGATGCCAGTTAGATCCCACTTCCTACATGTGCATGTCTTTTCATTCAGATTCACACTGAACATATCCAGGCGACACATAACTTGAAACTCAAACGCACTGGCTGCAAAACAAATGCATTTCCGTGCATGTTCTTTTTCAGTTTCTAGGTATTTCCTTACTCTTGGACATATGTCATCATGTCTAGAGATCATAGCAGACCTATTATCATTTATCCTTTGCATAACTAGCAACCTAATATCCTCAAGCATGTGTATCAGGGGTTTGG